AGAAACTCAGACATCTTCTAATTTGGTTTGCTCTAGTTTTATTAGATATATCCCAAAGAGTTATACATATTGTACTTTTATATGGCTTTTCTTTTGTCTAAGAGATAGCAACTATAGACTGATACAGGTTGCTTGCTAGTTCATTTCTATTACTCTCATCTATAAAAGCTTCTTGTCATATTTTCTTCAGTGTAGCCTTTTTGAGGCCACCTTTTGTATTATCTATAATCCACTTTGAACTAAGACCAGATTTCTTTTTAGCTTAAGTCTTTGTTTTAAACTTCTCTGTGGTGTCTTGGGTTTTTGTACTAGTGTTGATCTCTGACTCTACATTTGGATTGATTAAATCTATTATTTTCTTAATGCTAAAGTCTATGGTTCCACATTCTGTAAAGAGCAATATTTCCTTGGTGCCTGGTTTCATATGGATTGGTTCTTTGTTTTTGTTGACTTGCAAACAAGATGGTTGTTTATATAAGTCAAGTTCTTCTATTGATAGAATCTTTTCTGTCATTTCTTTCTGTTTAAGCCAATCAAATATTTCAATTGTTCTTTTAATGAGGCTTATTAATTTAACTGCATCTACTCCAAGCCATGTTGTGATTTTTTGATTCTTTATTAGAATATCTTGTTTGAGTTCATGGAATATAACTTTATTTTCCTGCTTGTCTTTTTTAAACAGGTTCTTGAATTTGGTAAAACTTTCTATTTTTATACATGATAATTGGTGTTATATCAATACACATAAAGATTGTTGTTTGTACAATGCTAGTTGTTGATCGGTTATATTGTTTACTTGTTTGGTAGCTTGATATGTTACATATCTGTTTGTTGTTACAATGATCTATGCTACAGAGTCAAAGCCAATTTTTCCAAATATACCATTTTTTTAAAATTTCTAGCAAAAATTTTTCTTTTCTGTTTTTGTAGTTTTATCTAAAGAGTTGGACTAGATATATTTCTAATAAACTCTAGATAGAATTTTGTGCTACTTCTTTTTGCTTAAACCTCAAAACCTTGTTAGCTAATAGCCTTGTTGTTGTTTTATATATTTTCTTTAGCTCAGAAATTGGAACAAGGATTTATAGAAGAGAGTTCTATAGTATACAAAATATCATATATATATCGAATTTATTTAAATTGTTTAAACTTATTCTATTTAATTATTTAATATATTATTAATTTAAAATATTTAAATTATTCTATTTAATTACTTAATATTTTGAGCCAACTCTTTTTAATGATCACTTGGTCCAAATTTCCTACGAAAGAAAAGTCATTATTTTTTGCTAGAGATAGGTGCTGGGGTCTAAGTAGTTCTAAAAGCAAGATGGTTTTTATAGAAGTCAACTTTTTACTATCAGGGACTTCTCTATATATTTAGGAAGCAAGCCAAAAGCATTGGTATACAAAATAACTAGCAGAAGGTAGTGCCCTTGTATATGAAATTTTGGTGGAGAGATGGAAGTGAAAAGTTCAAGCCTTCCGTCAACAAAGTGAGCTGCTAAGAAATAACTGGAAAATAGCAAAAAGTATACTTTTCTTAAGCCACACTCTTTTATCTTGGCCAAGTGGTTCTTATATTTCTCTTTTTTATCTTCTTGCTATTCTTACAAAATTTTCAACAAAAAGTGGGGATTTGGCTTACCCCTTCTAAAAGATCGGCATTTGTTTACTTTTCAAATCTGGACAGTTGGTAGATTACAACCATGTGTTTTTTTGGATATGTCACTACTTATTTTGAACAGGCCCTAGGCATGGGACCTTTATTAGGTTACGACTTAGGATGGGCTGAGCAATCTTTCTGGATTCAATCATAAAGTCAGAAAGAAAAATAAATGATAAGGCAAAGCTTTATAACAGAGATATAAAATCGTTGTAGTTTTTATATAATTTTTACAAGCCTCGTACAGGTTATAATAGTACAACCCTTTTGTTTTTGTAAGTAGGTCATAACTTTTGGCCTCTTTTCTTTTGTTTTTTCTATCTTTTTTCTTTTTTATTTTTGGTCGTTAGTGCATATATTATCCCATTACTTTTTTTTTTTTTTTTTTCTATTTCCCTTTCTATATTTGTTTTTTTTGGTTTATTTATTGTAGATAGATTATTGGATAGTCTTTTTGCCAGGATCTAGATAGAAAAAATTTAAAGAAAAGAGGTAGTCATGATGGGCTAGTAGTTCCCGGCCAGTGATTTGTAGAATCAGGATTTGAGGTAGATTTTGATAAAGCAAGGAGGTTGCAATTACTCTTGGCAAGTTGCACATAGGTCCAAATTGAAACTGGGTGAATTACACTTTAGTACAAGATGGTCATAATTAGATAATCACTTGTAACTTTGCTCATTCGAAGTGCTCTTTCTATCTTCTTAAGTAATAAAGTAGTGATATGACTTTCTGAAAAAAAAAAAAAAAAACTTAATATTTTATTAATTTTAAAATATTTAACTACAGTTGCTACCATGAAAAGCCATCAACTTTAACTATAAAATTTTTAAAGTTTTATAATTTTTTTAAAATAAAATAAACTAAAAAAAATTTTTTATATATTTAATAGCTTTTTGGTTAGACTATTAAATTTATAAAAAAAAGTTTTAGTATCTTTTATTTTAAGATGTTTATATCAATTTAAAGTTATATATAATTTAAAAATTTGGCGTTTAAATATAAAAAAACATAACTAAATTTAAATTTATTAACAAAATTTTAAAATTTATTAATAAAATTTAACTTTATATTAATTTTTCTGCATTTTTATTGGTCAATCATGTTACACTGTAGCTAAAAAATTGGCACCTATATATAAAATTTGTTGGCTTTAGATTGTATCTACTGTATAAGCATATAATAAAACTTTGACTAAAATTATCAAAAACCAAGATAAAATTCTTTATAAATTAAAAGTAATTAGAGAAAAAGTCATCATATTCAACTCTTCCCGACAATCATTTAAACCAAAAATCAGACTAAATAAAAAAACAAAATTTTTGTTGGAGAAATGTGGCTATGAAGTGGGTTGTCTAGAGGTTAATGTAACTGCTAGCGGGACTTCTCTATTAGTTGATATTTGGCATACAAGCCAAGAGCATTATTATACAAGATAACTGGCAGGTGGTGCCCTTGTATGAAAAATCCTGGTGGTGTTTGGGGTCGGCCTCATCTCCGTCGACGAAGCTATCTAGCTGTTACTTCAAAGAAGAACACAGGGGAAACACAATCTTGCGTTTTTTTGAAGCTGTACTCCTTTACTTGGTTAAGTGATATCTTTTTTATCTTCTCTCTTTTTTTTTTATCGGTCTTCCAAAATTTTCGAAAAAAGTAAGGATTTGGCTTATCCCCTCCAAAAGATCGGCATTGTTTACATTTCAAATTCGGACGGACTTAGTAGAATGCAACCACGTGACATGTTTATTTACGGATATGGCGCTATCTCATAGGAGTCAGATCGGGACCCAGTTAATGAGATATCCGAAGTTGGTCAGTTAGTCGGAAAGGAAAATATAGGTTAAGACAAAGCTTTACAATAGAGATATACAACCGTTGCATTTGTTATATAATTTTTTAGTCTTGCACAGGTTATAATAGTGCATTTTGGTTATGTAAAGAGGTGAAATCTCTCTCGAATTGTTATCTTTCTATAAAATGTTTTTATTTTTTCCTGTTTTTTTTCTTTTTTTGGGTTTTTTATTTTTATACTTCGTTTATTTCCCTATTCCTCCTTTTATATCTCCTTTTTAGTCATAAATCGTTTTCTTTTTTTTATAGATTTTTTGATAAGATAATTCTAGTTTGTCCGCGAACTGGTGCAATAGATTGCATTTAGAGCTATAAGGTAACCGAGTAAAGTTGGGCTTTGAGTTTTATAAATTAATGTATATAGCTCTTATACATATTTTAATAAAAAGCAAGTCACAGCAAAACCCGTAAAAATTAAAAAAAAAATATATATATATATATATATATAGATAATTATAGTTAGTAATTATTTTTGAATAATTATCTATTATTATTAATTTATATGATTGTATACTTAATGATGTAATATATGCAGGTAATTAAGTTAAAAATATAATAGTAATTATTTGAAGAGAGTGTGATGACATAGTGAAGTGGTAGAGTTGTCGCACTCCCAAGCTTGTTTGACTATGATACTAAGTTTGAATCCTACTGGCAACGTTTCGATACAATTTATCTGTATTATAATAATAGCTTATTTTAAATTTGGCTAGGTTCTATATCTGTAAACTAGTGCATATTAATACCTCAAGTGCGCTAGAAGACATGGAAGCATTTGTATTATTGTATAAAGAAATGCAAACCAGTATAGGCAATGCAAATCCATAATAAGCCTTCCAGGATCAACATATATTAAAAACCTATACATAGTAGCCTGAAAGGGTTTGGAAAATTCTGAATAGAGAAGTAGCAAATTTTTGACTAGCTAGTGCTATCTGGCAGCATAAAAAATCTATTCTAATTTTTCTGGTTTTTTCGGTTAATATTTAATAAAACTGGTAAATTTTTTTAATTTTGGAAATTTTCCAGCTATGATATAGCAGATTTCTGGAATATTTTATAAGTGCCAGAAATTTTATTTAATAAAAATTGTAGTTTATTTTAGCTAACTATACATAAAAAAAAAAAATTTACTATCTAATTATTATTATAATTTGATTACTTAATCCCTGTACATCTTTTTTGATTATTCCAAATTGTATATCCACATATAGTTAAAATTCTTGCTTTCTGGTCCTTCCAAAGAAATACACATTAGCATATCTAGTATATTTGTAGTTAATAAGTTTCTATTCTTTGTTTTAAATTTATTTTGTCTGCTAAAATCACGCTTACATTCTATACTTGAAAAGGGAATACAATAGGCTATCTAAATTAATTTAATAATATTAGGAAATACATCATTATAATCTTGAATCAATAAAGGAAATAATATCTCAATATTATTAGAGAAAAAATTATTAGTAATTATTATTTTAAATTCTGCCTATTCTTCCCTACATTTTTTAATATCAAAAAGCACAGAAAATTGAATATTATCATAGAAATTTGGCTGCTCAAAATATTTTAATAAAATTTCTAGATCATTATCTCCAAAAAATATTAATTCTTGATAATCTTTTGACCATTCACATAGATTTAATATTTTCATAGAAGTAAATAATTGCCGATTAGAAAATCTATGCTGAAGTTCAAGAATAATATTTGTTAAATAATCGTACACATCTATTATAAATTCATCGTAATCTTGTTCAATAAAAAAAAGATCATTGTCCAAATATATTATCAAAGAATTTTTAAATGAATTAGTTTTATCTATAAATATTTGAACATTTTGTCCAAATCTATGATTTTGATCGATTAGAATATACTCCTTTTGAATAGAATGAATTGTAGCTTGTATCATAGGATCTATATCAGAAAATTTTAAATTTCTTTTTTGTAAAAATTTACTTAATCGTGTTATATGTTTTAAGATATCATAAAAGTAAAATAAAAATGTTGGTATTTTTCAAAATATTAGTTGCTTGTATAATTCTTGCCCATTATTATCTTTTGATTTTTTGAAAACTTTAAGTAATGCCAGAATTGAATTGCAAATATTTTTAATAGCCTCATACCATGCAAGCCAATATATTTCATATAATTTTTTTATTTTTAAAGTTGGATCATTTAAAATATTTTGAATTTTCTGTAATTGTTGAATGTGTAAATATGAATTTTTAAAATAATTATAAATTCTTGTAACTAAAAATTCAACTTCTCCATAAAATCTAACTTCTTTTTTTGCATCTTTACATACTAGAGCTAATTTATGATCAACACAGTAATTAACAATTAAAGGATAAATGCATATTCTAGAAAGCTTTGCAGCTATATTCTCATTTTTTCCTAGCATAACAAATACTATCAGAAGCAAATGCTACAAGTTTAAATAAAATTTTTTTTTTTTAAAGATATTAATCAAAACCTTAGTAATATCCTTTGCATCACAACTAATTAAAGGTACAATACATAAAAAATGTTTTTAAAATTTCCTCTTTAGTTATATATGAAACATATATATCTAAATTCTTTGAAGTAGTAATATCTGTACTTTCATCAATCATTACACCAAATGCTACAACATTATATAATTCATTCTAAATTTCTTTTTTAATAGTATTTGATATTGTCTCTAAAAATTCATGTCTAGAAATATTATTTGTATATGTAATTGTATCACTAAAAAGATCTAGCGAACTTGATTCTTTTAATAATTCAACAATAGTTGGTAAAAGTTTAAGAGCCAAATTTTTTTTTGCTAAAAAATAAACAGCTCGTATTATACCAATAATATGCTTTGTATTTATATCAGAAGAAACGAATTCTTTTTGCAATAATTCCATTTGCATTCTTAAAATTTCTAATTTTTTTGCATTATTATGATCTTCAGTATTTGTATGTTCTTTAATTGCTGATTTTTTTAAAATATTTGTTGCTTCTTCTGTAGCAAATTTATTTATTTTTTTATATTGTATACATAATGTACAATACATTTTTTTCTAATCTTCATTATAATGTAACCAAGAAAATTCAGGTAACCATTTAAGTTTGAATGTTTTATTATTATTTGTATAAGATTTTTTAGCATTTTTGTTAGAATTATTTTCATTATCTTCATTATCAGAATTTTGATTATTTTGAAATAAATTATCTTTAACTCTTTTATGTTCAAAACCATATTGTAACAACGACATTATAAAATATAATAAATTTTTTAAAAAAAATTATTATATTTATATTGTTAAAGAGATACTAGATTGATTTATACACTAAAAAATAGGAGAAATGTGACAAATTTTTTAAAAGTAAAGGAACTAAAGTGACTTTTAAATATCGTTACAAAGGTAAGCAAATAAACTTTTAAAGAGTGTTTAATTTTTATTAGGTTTGAAAATCTTTATTAATAATCAAAAATTATTTTATTGCTATTGAAACTAAGCTGTTTATCCTTATTTGAACTAACACTTTATTTATAACACATGTAGATTTCATTATTTTAGCATTTTACAGAAAAAAAAGAAGGCAAATCCAAGAATGTTCATGCTCTTATTGTCACATAGTTAATTGTTCGATATTACTATAGTCACACACTTAGCTTATCAAGATAATATTACCTTGATAGCTGCCAATCTATATCAAAAAAGAGGCTTAGTTCAAGACTAGTTTATAAGACCCGGTCGGTGACCAGGTTCGAGTTTCTAATTTTTTGCTAATTCTTAGGCCTTAATGTTAATAATTCTTAGGCCTTAGTTTATAAGACCCAGTCGGTAACCGGGTTCGAGTTTCTAATTTTTTGCTAATTCTTAGGTCTCAACATTATTAACTCTTAGGCCACAATGAGTGACCGGGTTCGAGTTTCTAATTTTTTGCTAATTTTTAGGCCTCAATGTTATTAACTCTTAGACCTTAATATTATTAACTCTCAGGCCTCAATATTATAAACTTTTAGATTTTAATGCTATTAACTCTTAGGCCTTAATGTTATTAATTCTTAGACCTTAACATTATTAATTTTTAGACCTCAATGTTATTAATTCTTAGAACTCAACATTATTAATTTTTAGG